GAATGAAGAGAAACACAAAGATAAATGGGAAAACTTATGATCTTAACAAAGCCAGGGGGTATACCACAATTTTCACAGATTGATAAAATTCAATTTTGTCTTTATGTTTGATGCACAATAAGTAAATTATAGATTCAAGGAAAAGGGAAATATGTATCATAGATCAAAGGTTATAGTATTTCTCTAAGAGTTTCCTTATCCCATATCCTAATTTTACAGATGCAGCAACTGAAGGCCCAAGCTACAGAATTATTTGCAGCGTTAGGACCATGGACTTTTTACTTTTTTCTACAACTCTTCCAGCCACACTATCTCACATCAAATGAGGCTTTATGAGAAAGTGCCTTGTAACCTGGAAAATACAAAATTAAGTAGGATCCTTTTGCTTATCTAAGCCACATATGTTTTAAAATGAAAAATAATGACACAAATAGTATCAGTAAATATTGTTATGTACACTAAATGATAAGAATCAATCTTTCAAATGTATGTATAATCATGAAGGAAAATCAATAAAAAGAATTATACTTTTATTTAAAGGAATTCTTTGTTAAAAATATCCACTACACTGGCAAGAATGTGGAAGTGGATTATAATGCTAGTGGGAGTGTAAATGTGAACACCTTTAGAGAGAACAATTTGGCAACAACTGTTAAAGTTGAAGTAGTGCAGCCCTAGCTGAATAGCTCATTTAGACCATCGTCCCAATACACCAAAGTTGTGGGTTTGATCCCCAGTCAAAGCACATACTAGAATCAACCAAGGAATGCATAAGCAGGAAAAAAAAATCAGTGTTTCTCTCTGTGTGTGTGTCTCTTTTTCCCTTTCTCTGTTTAATTAATTAATTTTACAGTTCAACATGTGCATAGCCCACAACTCCACAATCTCACTGCTAGGTTTATGTACCAGAGAAGCTCTCCCACACAGGCACAAAAAAACATGAAGTCTATTTGTAAACAAAAATTGGAGAACGACCTAAATGTCTGTTGACATGGTAAAGAATTATCAATGTGTATACCCAGACAATGAAATAGTAGTGGGCAATTAATTATTAATAATTAATAATTAATTAATTATTTATTAAAATGAATAAATTAGATCTACATGTATCAACCAACCTAGATAAATCTTGAAAATATAATGTGAAAATAATTACAAAAAGATCGTGCAGTTTTAAACCATTTCGAAACACGTTTCAAAACACAAAAATTAATGCTACATATATACAAATATAATGGAAAAAACTCACAGCAATGCTACACACCAATGGAAGATAGTGGTTACCTCCAGTGGAGGGTGAGGAGAAAGGAGATTCATGTTAGACATACTATTAATGCTATACAGCTACAGCTTTGCTTTTTTAAATTGAGTCATGAATCAAATGTAGCAAAACATAGACCTTATTACTGGTCCACAGCTGTCTCTCATTATTTCCTGCTCTTTCTAGTTGAACTACATTCTAATTCATCTCACTAATTTATTACACAATAGAAATGATGTTACCAAATTGACTTCAGAATAGAAATACCATTTTTCAAAAAGTCAGAAATATTCACTACATGTATTTACATATAATTATATTTATATATAATTAAACAGGGTGTTTTGGCACTAAGTATGATTCCCGCTGTCAGGTATTCAAAGTACATTGATCCAAAGTATATAAGCTTTGAAATAGGAGTGCCTTGATGCCTGGCTCTGGTGTCTGTAGGCTGTGTGGCCTTAGATAAGTCACTTAATGTTCTCCGAGCCTCAGTATCATTATCTGTAAAACAAGGATCACAATAACAGCACCTACCTTGTAGGGGTATTATAATGATTAAACGAACTAATAAATGGGAAATCACCTAGGATATCGTGTTTGAAGAATGTTAGATATTATAATGTCATCAAAAATAGTACTAGCAGCTCAACAACATTTATACTGAATTACCCTATTTATATGGTAAGACTGGTCAAATGCATCAAATAATGACTCATTTTTAAAATTCTCTCCTTTGAGAATTAACCAATGAACTAAGATTCTCCAGTTGTGAGACTTTTTATGGAACAGTTTAATTTGTGAGTATATTTAAATATAGTTCATCCCTATCAAAAAATGAGGGTGGGCAGATTTTACTTAATTTAGTATTTGAGATTGTGCGTTCTTTTCTTTCTCTTTTCTCACTTTTTAAAAAGTCTTCAATACAATTCTCATCAGAAATGACACCGTCGATTTACCACTCTAAGGATTTATACAGGTCGTTAGAGCAGGTTTAGCAGTGGGGTGTTTTTCTTTTTCTTTTTTTTTTTTCCTAGAGAGATTGGAATTTAATTGTTTCCTTTCTAGACAAATATGCTTTTGGATTGCCAGCGATGAAAGGGGCATACAGATGTCAAAAGCATTGTAGCGCAGTGGGATTATGTGCGGAGGTCCAGGGCAGGACAGACAAACAAGCAAAGGCTCAGATCGGTCAAACAGTTAACTCGTAATAAAATCTCAGATGACCAATTTTGTTTTATCTTTGCCAATGCCTATGAAAAGTTCAAATGAAGTTTTGTTGTGTTAACTACTTGCATTTCTCTTATTTCTTATTTTAACCATTTGTAAAAATAAAGGAACTTCACTCGATAAAATTGGAAAAGTGTTTAAAGGCAAGCCAACTTAAAAGAAAACAATATATGCTACAGACATTGCTTTCTTCCTATTGAAGCACCATTAATTGGGCCTTAACTAGAGGGTTTAATTATGTTATGCGACAGAACCAATACTTAAATAATTTAGGATATGGGAGTAATGATTTTTCATACTGTGCTTCATTGATAAATATGAAAGCAAAAAATTCAGAATTTTATCTTAATTTTCAGACCTCATTAAGGAAAACTATCTTGGCTATTTCCATGTGGCAATAAAATCACAAACTGCATAATTGCTATTTTGAGTACTGGGAGAATTACTTACAAGCACTCCACTTATAATTTATTTACTTTATAGGAATTTTCCATCATCAAGATCTTTGGTGCCTTTATAATATACTGTGATTTTGTTCGAAATTGCAGCATCTAGAGGATTTACAATTTCAGGCAGAGGTAGCAAACTGACAGCTCTGGGCAGATCCAGACCACAGATGGGTTTTGTTTTGCCTGCATAATGTCGCTTTTTTTTCTGTTTATTGAGTTAGTTACCAACAGTTAAGAATTATGTGAATTTCTCATAAAAATCTGGTTTCCTGGCTTCTCTTAAAAAGTCAGATCTTAACAACACTGGGCCCGCATTCCCACATGGTAGCAATCAGCTGAGCTAAGGAAAAGCTGCTGCCTTTGAAAAGTGTCACTTACCAGAGTCCCCACCTCTCCCTATTGTATCTCTGTAATTTCTGGGAATCAGCCAGTACGTATACTTCAAAACCATTTCCCAGTTTTCCTCAGGTTACAGTAAATGTAAAAACTCATCACATACTGTAATGTGTGTTACGATGAATCAAGAAATAAATAGATACAGTTATAAATGATTGCTTTGCGTAAGTAAAAGTGAGAAGTTGGCATTAATTTGCATGGCATTTCTCTCAGAAGATAAAAAGAAAGTGAAAGCCCATTTCAATGACTGATTTCAATTTCATTCATTTACAATCAAAAGCACTTGGAATATCTCAAATCTAAAATGCAAAACTCAATCCATTTAAAGTCTTTCCATTAAAAAGTTTTCATTAATGAAACCTACTGGGTCCCTGTCTGCTCAGCATCGAAGTCACAGTCTAACAAAACAGCGTGGCACTTAAGGAGGCACATCCACTGCTTCAGGTCACTTGCGTATTATTCAGTGTGCATGAGATTGAACGGTAACATTTAGTGTAGACTAGATCCTGGATGCTGGAAACACCACCATAGTGATTTCCATTTTCTACGTTGAAAACCCAGAATAATCATATAGAGTGGCCTCCATCTCCCCCACAGCCCAGAGGAAGGGGAAAGGCCAAGAGGGGGTGATTTGACCTGACAACAGTATGTGGAAGAGAAGACGGAGCACTATGGCCAGACGATATCAAAATGCACTTGAGCACCATGGGCTGCTCTCCTTCTTTGCCTCTGTGAGATACTGCCCAGCTTTGCCCCATTACAGCCTAAGAGGTATAAGGCCTGAAGCAATACGTTATCTCTGGTTGCAATTTCACTGAAATAGTCATAGATATTTTAGGAAGTTTCAAGCATAAATCTTGTTATTCAAATATTTTTAAAAATTTAAAAAGTCTTTTCAAATATTAAAATGGTGTTTGCCAAATATTAAAAATATTAATATAAAAAGTACTTTCACAAAAACATTTCCCAATATTTTAGAACCACTTTTCAAAATATTAAAACTATTAATACGTATTAAAATTAAATATTTATTAAGTATTGAAAAATATTTTCACAAGAACAATAATTTCAAATCTTTTAGAACCACTAGCACATCTACAAAATATATCCATGCTTAATGCTTAGCGCAACTCTGAAAGTTAGAACTGTGGGGTTTTTTTCAAATTCACGCTGCAGCACACTTAATAGCCTGTGCTGCCCTGCAAAAGTGAATGTACCTTCCTAAGCATTTCAGAGCCACGGGGTTGGTGAATTACTTTCCCATTATTTTACATACGTGTCAAAGTTTCTACCTCAGTGACCTCACTCAACCCCCACCCGCTCTGCAGCCTTTCTCCAGCTTCTGCTGTAATTCCCAGGGAGCTACCTACGCCCAGTGAACAGATAGGAGTGGCCACTAAATGGCAAGAGTGAATTTGCAGAAACCCCAATTAACTAGAGCCGTGAAATGGGCACACAGGTTCGAATTAGCTATTTGGATTTCCTATTTTACTATTAACTAACAAGTAAGCTTCAACACTTGCTGCTGAAATTTTTAAATGGCTCTACTTTCCTACCTTAGTAAGCAAAGTACAGGTAACCAAACTATGGCAGTTGGGCTCAGTCTGTACAGGATCCAGGACATTCCCAGGAAGTTGATTTTTAAAAAATAAATACATAAATACCTGTTAACAGCTTGTTTTCTTGTCATTTGCCTCTTCCTTCTAAAAGGAGAGTGTAGCAAAAAATAAATAAATAAAACTGGTTAATTGAGAGTTCTGGTTAGTTAGCTTCCAATTAATCAAGGCTTTATTATATTTCACAAAAAAATCTTCTTAAATTTTTCAGAAATTTTAGATAGGTTACACACAATGAAACAGCAGCAGGGAAGAGCACAAAAAGAGGTAGAAAAGCCTGAATTGCTACTCGACAGTATTTTAAATATCTATGTAATGTTGTTATATTCTGGCCTAATCCACACTGAATAAGGAATAATGTGAAATGTCATGTGGTTTAGGGCTTTTCTATATATGAAAGCAAGAAAATAAGGTTATAGATTTCTGTTGAAGAAAATGGCCTCGGGTCGTAACAATTCCAGAAAAGATTCAGCAATATTATGTCTTTTCCCTTGCTCTCAAGAGCTTTATTCCCATCCCATTAGGTATTCCAATATTTTTTAGAGAAAAAAAATTCCCCTCCAGTTTTTTTCACTTTTTTTTTTTTTTGGCCAACAGGATGATGGAAGTAAGCCAATCTGAATGTTATGCCTTAATTTCCTAAAGATGGAGCCATTAATCTCTCAGCTGACACTACACTGATTTCTGTAGAAATACTGAACTATCTTTCATCTATCTAACCCAAAGGGTTATCCATGCACACTTGCACGCACACACATGCACACGCACACATACAGTCACACGCATGTCCATACAAAATAAGCTAAGCACATACAGAAGAAATTTTAAAAAACATAATTAGCTTAGTTAATGAAATAACCATTCTTTCCAGTAGTATATTTCCCAGCATTCCCAAGCCCTTTAATTATGAACAATGAAATCTAAAATGTCATGCAAAAAAAAAAAACCTACAAGGAGCCTTAATGCACATAGTATGGAAACAGGAACCTTCCTATAATGCCCAGTACAAATATCATCACCCTTTTATAATCTTTGGTTTTAATAGCTTTTTCATGGAAAGTCTTCTTTCAGGTTTTTTGTGTGTTTGTTTTTGAAAGGCAATGGCTTCCCTGCTTAAAGGTCTGTAGAAAGATTTCTAAATAAACCATAAATGCAAACATATATTTAGAGCTGCTGGGGGAAGGAGGTGGGAGTAAAAGCAGGTGAGTCTTTATTTCACCTACTTGACTGACAGAACTATTTGATTTTGCTTTATATAATAGTTCACTCTCCCGACCTGTTTTGAAATGACACTTTCTTTTTTTTTAAGATTTTATTTATTTAATTTTAGGGAGAGGGGCAGGGAGGGAGAAAGAAAGGGAGAGAAACATCAGTGTGTAGGTGCCTCTCATGTGCCCCCTACTGGGGACCTGGCCTGCAACCCAGACATGTGCCCTGACTGGGAATTGAACCAGCAACCCTTTGGTTCATAGGCTGGCACTCAATCCACTGAGTTACACCAGCCAGGGCTGTGAAATGACACTTTCTTTTTCTTTTAAGATTTTTATTTATTTATTTTTAGAGAGGGAAGGGAGGGAGATAGAGATAGAGATAGAGATAGAGATAGAGAGAGAGAGAGAGAGAGAGAGAGAGAGAGGAGAAACATCAATGTGTGGTTGCTAGGGGTCATGGCCTGCAACCCAGGCATGTACCCTGACTGGGAATCGAACCTGCGACACTTTGGTTTGCAGCCCGCGCTCAATCCGCTGAGCTATGGCAGCCAGGGCTCGAAATGACCCTTTCTTAAAGCAGAATATACTCACACATACCAAGTCAATGCTTGTTCTTACTTTCTTTTTTAAAAAAAGTTATTTTCTTGTAATTGATATTCAAGTACAGTTTTCTGCCTTTTACTCCCATCCCAGCCCACTCCCCCAGCCCTCCCCACCACCCTCCCATTTCTACCCCCCCTTGTTATTGTCCATGTGTCCTTTATATTTTTTCCTGCAAACCCTTCCCCTTCCCCCCTGAGATTCCCTCCCCTCTGCCCCCAGTCACTGTCAGCCTGTTCTTACTTTCTTAATCACAGAGTCATTGGATTGAAGTATTTTAGTCCTTCTGAAGATAAATTTAAAATTCACTATCAAATCTCACATAGTATGTCCTCCCTCGGATGTGAACGTAACTAAATAGAGTGCTACTTTTGTTAATGCTTCACAAAGGGGGAATTACCTTAAACAGAACATTTTAAAGATCCCTTTAACCTTTGAGATGATCTAGTCCAATACACTGTCAACTGAACACTAAAGAACTTCAGTAAAGTGCTGGTGGGTAGCAGAAGGAAAGATAAGAGGGAGCCATTCTTTTCTGTATCTACCAAATATATTGTTTGGTCTGGCCAGAACTTTGAAAATATGAACATTTTACATAAAATCTGAATTTGTAGGAGGTTCTGTAACAAAAAAGGAGTGTCTGAAAACACTGATCCCACACAGTCACTGGCTCAGCAGAACTAGACGAAGTAGAAAGAGAAGCAATGTCCACCCATAGATGGAGTATGCGCTCTTCTATCTCCTGTAGGTCCCATCATGTAGTATGATCTTACACCTAAACCTCTAAGTGAATTTATGTGATCTCCTTGGTTCCAGTGGGAATTTGGGTTGTTTGGTCATCGTTTTAATGTGATTTACTCAGACATTAATCAACTGGCCGAGAGATGACTTCATTTAATGAAGAAAACCAACCTTTTGACTCTTGAGGTAGACACCATGTAACTATTTTTTCACACACAGAAAAGCATCTAAAGCCAATTGTGTTAGATGAAAATAGATTCATTAAAACTAAACTCTGCTTACACTCAGAGAAACATTGTCATTTAATCAGAGTAGGAGCAATAAATTTAAAATTCCAAATGACCAATAAAATATTTCTTATGCTTTAATATACATCAACATTGTGAAATGATTGTACACCTAAAATATCTACAATTTTTATTTGTCTATTATACCTCAGTAAAGGTAAAAAAAAGTTTCCTATGCTTTGAAATTGGAGTCAACTGTTAATCTGGCACACTGCCATATTTCAGTTTAATTTTGGCTTTAGTTGCTCCTTAGACAAGATTTTTTGGTCTTATAATTTGTTTCTCAGGCCCAATACAATAAACAAAGTGTTGATCTGGGAATAAATTCAGTAAATATAGAAAACATAAATCAAGCAAATCAATCAATACCCTGCCCTCCCCCCAACTTTACGTGTAGAGGATGAATGGCTAGTAAAACTTTTTTAGGTTGTCTTTGGAGGTTTTTTCCATCATTCAAACAGTTGTCTCCCACTGTGGGAGCTTTTAGGGAGTTTTCCCTACTCTTAAGTAATAACTTACTTCATTTTATGTCACCCCTTGCTCCATAGCAGCTGCTATAAAGCTATTTAATCTTGTTAGGAATGCTGAAAATTCTTTGACAAACCCAGTATGTTAAAAGGAACTGAAAATCTCTTTTATTATATAAAAAAGTAAAAATAAAAGCCAGAATATTTTAGGCCTCTTTAAGTTCAGAGGGCATCCGAACAAACTATTGATCACTTGTTTCCAAAAGGTCCATCAAGGAACATGTATAAAGGACGAAGCCAAAAGGGGTAGGTTTGAGGGTGGGAGGTGTGGATGGTTGGGGCGAGGGGCTATGGTGGGGTGAAGATGGAGATATCTGTACTTAACAACAATAAAAAATAAATTTAAAGAACCAAAAGCATGATCTTCAGATTCAAGGCCCAAACAATTAAAACTATCATTTTCTTTCTTTTGGAAATTTATTTTTTCCTAGAATTACTTGGAAATTAAAAAAAAAAAAACAAAACCTTTGATCATTTTACATATCTGCTGCTTCTTTAAGATTTTGGTGCATAAGCTTAATTCTTTTAAAAGTCAGATTTAAAGTCAGAGTCCAGAGGAAAATGAAAAGAAAAATTAAATATGGCATAGGGTGATAGCAAAGATAAATGAGCCTATGGCAATTAAACTTGTTTGTAAAAGACGGGTTCCAGGTTATACATATATGTTTAACATAGGCTGCCAATACAACTTAAAGAATGCAAGACTCTCTACTAGCTCTCTCTGACAGATGATCCTTTATACAAACACTGCTCTGTCCAGTCTGGGGGGCCTCCGTGGGTTCAATGCTATTTCTCATATGTCCTACAAAAACAAAGAACCTCTGAGATAGGAGTGTGGCTCACAGTATCAAATGCATTTTTTCAAGGCAAAGATCATAAGAAAGTAGAATACCACTAACTCGTTCTTACAATACAATAATCATTTCAGTATATACTCAAGGATGAGGCCAATTAAATAAATACCTTTAGTCATATCATCAATGTATCCCAAATATTTTTTCATTAATATTTTCCCACGTATTCAAAGTTGATAAATATTAGGCACACAAATAAACTCTGATGGTTAAGATAACCTACCTGAAATCATTTTGATTCTTTAAAGTTTTAAACATTACAATCTCACAAAAGCTTCATAAGATTTAAAGCACTTAATGCCATAGGCATCTTGGGCCACAATATTTGTGTTGGGAATGTTTCCCCTTGACAGTCTTTCTACCCATGTTTGTAGGTTTGGCCAAAGACACCATGAGTCACCCTTTGAATCTCATGCTTTGGAAGAGGCAGTCTAGCCAGGCTTTTATATAGGATTTTTAAAAAACACTTATTATACTCATTGTATTTCAAGTCTTCCCATTGATGATTGTGTCTTGCTGATGCGTATTCAGAATGACTCACAGAAAACACTAAGAAAATGTGACACGTGAAATAAAACACTAAAGCCCTTTAGATATTGGGCACAATCACTGTTCTACCAGCTTTTAGAGTTGATAGCTTTGGGTTTGATGGCTTGATATCACACTTAAATGATAGTAAATGGCCTAGTTCCAAGCTAGTACACTGCCTAAGTAGAGACCTTAGTATCAGCCTCCGATTCTGAGTGGCTGATTGAAACACTGTTTACTTCACATCATTTATAACAACGTATGCCGATTTTCTCTATTTACTTATTGTAGGTCTACCTTCCCTCCAAAAATGCAATCTCTACAAAAGAATAGGTTGAG